TGGATGGATGGATGGATGGATGGATGGATGGATGGATGGATGGATGGATGGATGGATGGATGGATGGATGGATGGATGGATGGATGGATGATGGATGGATGGATGGATGGATGGATCGATCAATATATAGATAAATAGATAGATAGATAGATAGATAGATAGACAGACAGATAGATAGATAGATATATAGATAGATAGTAGATAGATAAATAGTGTAATACCGTCGAAAGACAGAGAAATAAATATACAGGAATAAGATATTGTTCCAGGTTGTCATACAGGCCAGCTGTGTAAATATAACGCTGGACTAGACAGTGGTAGAAATAGCCAATTACAGACAGTAACGTAGTGCGGACTGACCATAAACAATAGGTAGGCGTTTCTACCTATGTGAGTATATAACCGCGTGTTCGACTAGAGAGAGAGAGAGAGATCGGAAAGAGAGTCAGAGACATTGATTGCAATTCAGACGATATTGGTCAGAGCCGGCTACTTTCAGCTATAACCTCGTAAGTTAGTAGATGTGACTCGCGCACCTCGACTGTACGCATTCGCCCCGTTATGGGAGGATGCATAATTAAGGCTGTCAATTAAAGAGATACCTGAATACGTTCATACAAATCGTTATGTTCTATTATTATACGCAGTCACATAGACGCTAGCAAGGGTGTACTACACACACTCACGCGTAACCACTCATACGATCACGGGTAGCAATAGGCTTCCCTATAAGAGTGACAGAAAGAGACGGAGAGCTCATGATCGAACAAGAATGAGGGGTCTCGATTGAGGTAGCTGGAATTACGGAGCTTCGAATAATTCACTAATCACTCACCGATGCGAGACGTGGAACGCTAAGCAGCTTTGCAGTCCCGCCGAGTAGTCAGTAGACAGGACAGAGCGCAAGCAAAGATCGCTGGTGCTCGTCTCGATTTCAATAATTATAATGTACGCTGTACGCAGTCGTTTACTGTATTATGTACTTATGTAGAGTTAAGTCTGTTCACTGCTCTGGGTAGCAGTGCAAGCCTGGCGGCCGTCTATACGCTCATTGCTTAAAGCTATCGCTCGTTTCCCGCCGCCAGAGCTATATCTCGTCGAGTATCGCATGTATGAGTAATTATCTTTCCGTGCGAATCTCGCGTACATTCTTGATTTCCTCGTAATTTCCATGCGCGCATTATCACGCATATATACACGACGCTGATGTAAATGAGCTTGAAATCGGAAGCGAGAACAGCGAACGATAGCTAATAGATAATGGAAATCTCAGAGGAGACGCCGAATCGAGCTTTAGCTCGTCGCGGAGTCCAGCATTCAGAGGAGAAACGCCTGCGATATCTCGCTGACGCTCGGCATGGGTGCTGGCTATCAACAGTGCGTACAAGTAGACCGGATCGCATAATGCGAGCCGCTGACGTGAAGTATTTGAATATAAACACGCGAGAAATTAACTCGATGACGTTGAACAACACATACACACGCACGCACGCACGCACGCACGCGAACGCAATAATTAACACACTCGCCACCGTACCTATACCACACCGATTGATCGAATTCCAGCTACGATAACGCTGAAGCCACTTTCGCCAGCAGACTATATACGGGTCTCGAACTACAAGCCCTCGATACTTTACCCCGCTTGCAGTTATGCGCGCATGCCCGCTGGTTGTGCCACATGTGCGCTGAGATGAGACGTCATGTCGATGCATCTTTTGACGGCGCGTATAAGCAAAAAGCTTTGCTAAGACGCTTCCCTTACCTCGCATGCACAGCCGTCCTTCGTAGCGGGAGGTAATAGACCGCTGACTCTCTCTTTCTCTCTCCTTCTAGTCTTTGCCCCTCCCCTCTCTCTCTAAGCTGACGTATTAATTGCGTTAATGTCGTGAGGGGCTCGTGTTTCGGCCGCGATGTATGATGGATGACGCGTCTGGGCGGCTGGCCGGGGCGAAGACAAGCAAACATCGTCATCAGCTGCATGGTCTCATCGTGAAATAGTGAATAGGAAAGCACGACCGATGGACAGACCGACAGATGTACAAACACACGGACTGAATGATTGTCAGGCTGCATGGATAGAACATGATGCGGTACAACGCGAGACTCACCTGTGAATACTGCAGCATCATCAGCAGCAGTGCCGCGTAGAGAGACATACTCGGCACCAGTGACTGCGTGCGTCTCCTCATGCCGCTGCCGCCGCACGACCCAGCGATGACGTCTGCCGCCGCCGCGAACATCCTCTGCACCAGCTACCGCCGACCACGAGCGTGCGTGCTTGCGTGCGTGTGCGTGCGTGCCGGTGATCTTCTCCCGGAGCGATCACTGCTGACTTCTGCGTAGCGCGTGCGTTAATACGTTGCCGAGTCGGCCGAGGAGCAGACGAGATGAACGAGATGGGAGATGGGCACGTGCCGAGCGGGTGTGCGAGAGCGTCTTCAGCCGCCGAGCTATTACGCGCTGACACACTCAGCGCCGCCGCCACCGCCGGGGTTACGTCGCTCGACCGTGTGTGTGTGTGTGTGTGTGTGTGCGTGTGTGAGTGTGTGTGTGTGTGTGTGTGTGTGTGTGTGTGTGTGTGTGTGTGTGTGTGTGTGTGTGTGAGAGAGCAAAGTGCCTCGAGATGAGAGAGCGCTTCGCTGGGCGAGCTCGCAGCGGCTACGTGCAGTGCAGACGAATGCGCTTCCCGCATCTGCATGCGCTCTCGCACGGGCCCGCGCGCGGGAGTACACACGCGCACGGAGCAGGCTGGTGACTATACGGGACCCCTTCGCCGGGGTTGCTGATCTGAAATAAAAATAAAATTCTTTATAGAGCGAGACTTTATATAAGCTGAGGGAGAGGGGCAGTGTAATATTGAGAGAGAGAGAGAGAGAGAGAGAAAGATAGAGCGAGAGCGAGAGAGAGAGAGAGAGAGAGCGAGAGCGAGAGAGAGAGCGAGAGAGAGAGAGAGAGAGAGCGAGAGCGAGAGAGAGAGCGCGAGAGAGAGAGAAGAGAGAAGAGAGAGAGAGAGAGAGAGAGCGTGAGTGCGAGTTAGGGGGAGAATGTGGGGAGAAAGGGGGAGAAACTAAGATGGACGGAGATGCGAGAGAGTGAGAGAGAAGGAGGAGGAGGAGGAAGCGAGCAAGCATACGAGAGAGGCATACGCGTGTTATTGGCTACACTAATAGGCTTAAATCATCACGACGAACGCCGCAAGCAAAGCCTCGTTGTTGCCGACAAGCTGGCGTCGGCGCTGCTGCTAGGCTGACGGCGCAAGCAACGTGGCCGACAACCGAGCACAGAGCTATAGGTTTCCCGTTAATCGGCCTCTGCAGCGTGTCGCGCCGGGAGTTTTTGGCCGCGCATGGGAGCATCGGTCAGCGGCCGCAACCACCGTCTGTCGACAGCGACGGCCCGTCGTTAGTTAATGACTCGGCTTTACACAAGGTTCGAGTCGAGTTCGACCAAGTTTGAGCAGAGGGCTGGCGGTAGAGGTAAATGAGTTTGAGAAGAGTATAGAATAAGGGAAACAGTCGCGGAAAATCATGGTTGGTTCTTGCACACGGAGTCGGAGATACCGCGCGCCAATGCGCGCCGTGTGTGTGTGCGCTGCTTGGCGTGTGTGTGTGCGCTCAGTGTGTGTGTGATTTGTGTGTGTGTGATTCGTGCGTCAGCGATGTGCGTATGTCGTGTGATGGTGTGTGTGTGTGTAGTGTGTGTCTATTGTGTGCTGATGGTGTGTGCGGTGCGTGCGCGGTTGTGTGATGTGTGTGTGTGCTGTGTTGTGTTTGTGTGGTGTGTGTGCGTTGCGCGTGTGTGTGTGTGTGTGTTGTGTTGTGCTGTGTGTGTGATGTGTGTTCCTATACATATATTGTAGTGTGATGAGGAGTAGAGAGTAAGAGAGTAGTGTGTAGGGAGTGTGTAGTGATTTGGAGTGATGTAGTGTGATGAGTGGATAGATGTGATGGGTGATGGGTGTGGGAGGGCGGTGTGTGTGTGTGAGGTGTGTGTGTGTGTTGTGGTGGTGTGTGGGGGATGTGATAGTAGTGAGATATAGATGTGAGTAGAGAAGAGGTGTGTGGATGAGTGGAGAATGAGGATGGAGTGAGTAGGTGAGGGTATACTATTGTGCTGACATGGCGTGTGTGTTGACTGTGTGTGAGCTCGTGGTCGTGCGGTGGCACAGCACGACACACACTCAGTGTGTGTGTGTGTTGTGTTGGTTGGATGTGTGTGTGGTGGTCGTAGTGCTTGTG